CGCCACCCTGCTGTGAGCAGCTCTCCTCCGTCCAGGCCCGTCCACCTCACCTTTCTCCTTAGGAACCACTGAGCTGGCCAGGACCGAGACTTCTTCAACTGTGAGCCAGAGTGAACCTCTCCTCCTTCATGCTGTGGGTCAGGGGTTGGGTCTCAGACATGGGAGGTGACTAAGCCTCTACCCTAAAGGGGGACAAATCTAAGCTGGACGTTACTGAGATGGCTGAAGTGTGAGTACGGATCCTGGGTCCCATAACAGTGCTGTATGCGTGTTGAATTCTCTGCTGGAGATCATTATACTGTCAGTGTGCAAGACACTCCTTTTATGCCTAGGGTTCCCTGCTGATGGATTGAGGTTTAAGCGGACAGGAATTCTAAAACTTGCCCTTGAATAAGTTGTTAAATGGGAATAGAGAGAGAACGGTAGCAAATATGACCAAGGGGCATGGAGCAGTGGCCCACGCCTGTCATCCCAGGTGCTCATGAGGCTGAGTCAGGCACATCTTACATTCATTCCAGCCTGGGCGACTTACCAAGAACCTGCACTGAAAGAGGTAAAGAACAGACAACAAACACAAGAGGGCAGAGCGAAATGTGCCTGTTCTGAGTGGACACAATGGGACAGAGGAGTTGTACTCGTGTCGTAACTTGTCTGTGAATACGAAGTTATTTCAAAATGAAAAGTCTCAAGCAGGTTGGAGGAACAGCGACTTAACTGGCAGCTTGGGCAGAGTCCCGGCAAGACAGAGAGGGAAAGGCAGGCAGAGTGCTGCTCCTATTCCTGCTCTCTGCAGCCTCCTCTCCCCGACACCTTCCATATTCGTAGCCAAAGGAACAGGAATGAGCTGGGTATGCTGGTTCCCTCCTGTAATCCCTGGGCTCTATAGGCTGATGCATGAGGGTCTCTATGAGTTTGAGGTCAGCTGGGCTATGAAGTATGTTCAAGGCCAGTCTGAACAGTGTAGGAACATAAACAAAGAGGTGTCCATCACCGCTGAGTCTGTGGTCTCTTTGGCAGGGTCAAGGGCAAGAGCGATCTGGCTAGGGATAGAGCACTACAGGCTGAAGGACAGCCTGGGAACCGTAACGAGATTCTACCCAGAATAAAGTTCTGAAAAAGGTCCAAAAAGAGGTGAATGGAAAGCGCTTGCCTCGCATGTGTGTATGAGGTCTGGGTTCAGTTCCCAGCAGTGCAGAGAAGAAGTAAATACATAAATGCAGTGTGTGGGAAAGAGGCATGCGCACATGAAAGTACAGTATTCCCATTTGCTTTTGAGGCTGGGTCTTCTCTGCACTTAGGCTGGGTATGACCTTGCTATGGAACATGAGCTGGCCCTGAACCTGTTGTGATCCTTCCGCCTCACCCTCCCAAGTGCTGGTGAGGCAGCAAATGTGACAAAGTGGGCTTTGCCATATTTTGGATTTCCCCCATCATACCTGGCCAATTGAAAGAATGTCAATGTGATGTTTGTATTATTAGGATACATTTTTGTCTTGTTTTGGTTTTGGGTTCTTTGGATTGAACATATTGCCTTACAGGGAGCTACATTTTTGATCCTTTAAAAAGTTTTTTTTTTGTTGTTTTTTGCTTTTTTTTGGTCTTTTTGAGAGAGTCTCACTATGCACTTCAGACTGATCTTGAACTCACTTTGTAGTGCAGGCTGGCCTCAAACTCACAACGCGCAATGATCCTCCTGCCTCAACCTCCCGAGTGCTGAGATTACAGGCGTGGGTCATAGGTACCTAAATTGTGCAGACTGGACTCAGTGTTGTAATTCTCCTGCTTCCGCCTCCCAGAGAGCTGGGATTACTTATGTGCTCCACCACACCCAGCTAGAGCACATGCCTAGTTGTTCCCCAGTCGCAGTTTCTGTCCACAATCACAGGGCAAAGCTGCACACGACCCTGTTCCTGGAGTCTCAGCACAGCTCCGAGAAGCAGAGTTCAGCAGCCTGGCTTGCTGCCCCACTGCATCTGCAGCTCTGCGCAGCCTGGCCTGGCCTCATCCTCCTCCTCTGGTTCAGACTCGCTGCCCTCTCTCATTAGGATGCTAGGTCTCCCAGAAACCTTCCCACATCCGGGCCACCAGATGGATTTCAGGCCCCCTCCTCTGTGCTTCCACTGCAGCCTCTGAATGTCAGTCCCAGAGCACTTCAATCATCAAGCCGGGTTTATCTGTCCACGGAGTGCGTGCGTGTGTGTGTGTGTGTGTGTGTGTGTGTGTGTGCGCGCGCGCGCACTCCATGGGATGGAATGCAGGTTCTTTGTACCGAGCAACATCTGCATGTCTTTTTAATTCTGTATTTTGAGTCAGGGTCTCACTGAGTTGCCCAAGCTGGATCAAACTTGTGATCTACCTGCCTCAGCTTCCTGAGTAACTGGAATTTTGAAATCTGCCACCCACCTGCCTCAACAGTATTTTCGCCCCAGGTTAGCACAGTGTTTTTACCTGAAGTGAGTAGTCAGTACTCTTCTTTTGAAATGCACTGTGATGAGGAAGATGGAATGAGAGCTTTATTAGCTTGAGAGTGTTCCAGTGGATTAGTAGAGCTTATCTATGGATGGGTCATGCAGGTGTGACCTTGGTTCTATGTCTGTTCACTCCCCCATTCACTCCAGCTTATCCCTGCTTGGTTTCTGGGCCACTCTAGTTAGAGTACTTGGAGCCAACAAACCAGGGACTGAATCCCCTGGAACCATGAGCAAAGTGAGCCTCCTCTTCTTTAAGGTATAGGTGTAGAATAATATGTCCCAGGCACAGGAAAGCTGACTCAGACATGCGTGAGTGGACGTATTTAAATTTCCTTTCTTTAATGGAAGTGGTGCTGCTATCAGTACTGTCATTTTCTCCTCTAGTCCCACTGCTAGGAGAACCATTTGCATTGTGTTTCATGTTACATTCACCCCACCTCCTTACCTGACTTGGTTGGACTTTTGCTGGGAGACAGACTTTGTGCATCATGGGGCTTACGTCACTGGAGAAACACTTCAGGGCCATCTGGACATGGATTATGTTCTGGGAGTGAAGATATGGCCTCACCCACCGGGGTAAATTTTCTTGTAGAAAAAAATTACAGCTCAGTACCAGTGCTCACTTAATTTTCAAGTGAGAATTAACTATATTTGGTAAGTGGAAATGCCATGATTAAAAGCAGAATGTTTTATGTACAGCGAGGTCTCTTGATTCCAAAAACTGCAAATATATTACTGCAATGGGAAAATAGCAATAGAATGAGATATTTTGTGGCACAGTTTGGCAGAGGTTAGGACTGTGACCTGCAGTCATCCTGGGGTAAGTGTAGCCGCAAGCACCGCTGCTGAGTTATCTCAGCGCAAGTGGGAAATGGTTTAAGCAACCAGACAAGCCAATATTTGCAATCATTTTGTTAAAAGAACGCTTACTGGGCAGGAGGACTGCCGCGAGTTTGAGGCCAGCCTGGGCTACCTAGCGAGTCCCCATCTCAAATAGAAACAAGGTTGCTCATTTGCGCCCAAACCAAGACAGGACTCAGTCAGGACTCCACCACCACAGCAGTCCGGACCTGGGGAGTAGAAAGGCTCATCGCAGAGGCGTGGAGACACACACGCGGCGGAGCTCACGGAATCCTGCTCAGCACTGAAGGAAGCAGAGGGTGAGGTGGGAACCAGGCCGCGAGTCTCGCTGAGGTTTCCCTGACAGCAAGGAGGGAGCTCTGACCTGGGTCATGACTTTCTCCAGTCACTCAGACGCAGGACTGAGAGGGACACAGTGTGTCAGGTGACATTCGCAGCCCAAGGTGGTCTCGCGGGGCACAGTCAGGTGTCCCCAGGGCGGTGTCCTTCTGCAGGCCCCAGGGGACGGCCCTTTTCCAGCTCCCGGGCCACCACATTCCTTCCTCCGATCTCACAGTACTGTGATCAGCAACCTAATTCCACACGCGAGGTTCTTAGGGTAACACGCAGCCCCAGCCCCGGAACAGAGGCAGGAGAAGCCCAATTACAAGGCCCGCGTTGGCTGCGCACCTCCTTCCAGGCCACCCTGGGCTGCGCAGGGAGAACCCGTCTTGAAAAGCACTTAAATAAATAAACACAAAGCACAATAAATAAACCACTAGTCTGTGGTTTACAGAAACGACGGCAATGGGGAAGACGGGGAGACGGAAAAGGTGCCTTAGCAGGGCGGACTGACCCAAAGAAGCAGAAGGAGCTTTTTGGGTATCAGAAATGTTTTGCATCCTAACATGCACGTGGGTTAAATATGTGTACAGCCTTAGTCTCCCCAAGTTGGCCTCAGCAGACCTGTGCCGTTTACTGTATTTACACTTTACCTGCAAAAAACAGAAAAGAAAAAGAAAAAAACCAGCAGATGGTGATCAGTCTGGAAATATCAGCTACTCGGAGGGCGGGGTAGGAGGAATGCAAATCCAAGGTGAGTTAGGGCAATTTAGTGAGACCGTGTTTTAAATTTTTAAAAAAATGCTGGGGATGTAGATCAGAACAACACCCTCAGGTGTTTGGTTGTTTGAGACAGGGCCTGGCTATGTTCTCAGGCTGGCCCTGACCGTCCTCCCTTGCTCTCTCCGCAGGGTCCGCGGGCCCGCCCGGCGCCACAGTCCGCAGCGTAAACCCCGCCTCCGCCGCGCCCGCCGGGAATGAAGGGCGCCGCGCGCGCCTGCGCAGTCCGCGCTCCGCCGGGTGGCCCGCCCCGCCCGGAGCCAGTCCCTCGAATCCCGAGGCCGCGTCCCCACCCCGGGCCACGCCCAGGGCCTCACGGGCCACGCCCAGGGCGTCCCGGACCACGCCCCGGGCCACGTCCCCCGAGGCCACGCCTGCTGCCCCTCCCTTGACCTGAGTTCTGGCCAACCCGCTGCCCGCACTCCTGCTTTCCTCCAATCGCGATCCTGAACGCACCGCCCTGCTTGGCAGTCGGCCCTTTCCACCCGCTGGTTGCGCATGCGCGGAGGTGTGTGCAGCGGCTTGGTTTTTGTTTTGTTTTGTTTTTCCGGTACTGGGAATCGAACTTACGACTTCGCGCTTGCCAGGCAGACGCTGTGCCGCTGAGCTAAATCCCCAGCCCCCAGTGCAGAGTCCAGGCTGGTGTGGTCAGGCTCCATCTAGTGCGAGGTCCCCTTCTGGGAAACCGGGGCACAAGGCTGAAGGCGTCTGCTGAGGACTTGTTCCCGGGCCTCAGAGACTCCAGCTCGAAGAAGAGGCTCGGTGAGAACCGCAGAGTCCCGGGAGCCGCCATCGTGGTGACAAATGACAGACGCAGCCCTCAAGCCCCTGCCAGGGCTCTGCTGTGGCGTGCCTTCTGCAGGTGGGGAAACTGAGGCACGGTGTCACACAGACGAGCAGCTTTCAGCAGATCTGGTGCCTGAGAAGCAGCAAGGCTGGGGTGTGGACCCTGAACACCACTGCCATTGCTGAGCTCCGAGTCCTAAGCACTCGGCGCCCGGTTCCCCAGCGATGCTGGAGGATGTGCAGGGTTTGCGCACCAGAGAGTGAGGAGCGAGAAGTGGTGTGCAGAGCCTTGGGGTGAAGTTCTGTTCTCGGGGCGCTCGCTCTGGGGAGTTTGCTCCACTGGAGCAGGGCATGAGGGGCCCGGGCACATAAGTCCCCCAGAGAGCGGCTCTGTCAGGGATGGGCGTCTTTTCTGCCCTTGATCTGAGCCAAAGGCCCAGAGGAGTTTCTCCTTTTCTGAAGGAGGAACCCACCGGGAAGGGTATTTTGCAGAATGAAGACTCTCGTGCTCTATGTGATGAGGACTACACGATGCGCCCATCAAGGATGTCCACTGCCCTTACCGTCTATGCTTTCCTTCGTAGCGGTGAGACGCACTGCCCTCCCCAGGCCCCCGACAGCTCTTCTTCGGCCTCCATCACCAGACCAGCGAGTGCCAGATTTCCGCCAGCACAGGCCGAGGCGTCCAAAGACTCCAAGCTGTGGGGGAAATTCTACGCATTGTTCTACCCATTGTGCAGCTACCTCATACTTTCTCTTCAGGGTTATGAAGCAAGGCTATGGACTGACATCCAAGCTGCTTTAACATATTACCATAAAGACAAACAAAAACTTTAACGAACATGTGTTGAATATTCCAGATGAAGGGAAGGCATTACACGGGGGATGGAGGGAAGAAGGAAATTCTTCTCCCCACAGTGGTGGACAAAATACAGTAACACACAATACTTTGCAAAGTAGTGTTTAAACAAACAAGCACCGTATTTGATACACAAATAAAATATTGTGGGAACGTGCAGGGATCCGCTCACAGCAAAGACCCTCAAGCTAATTTGTGGACCCTGCTGGCAAGCATTGGACAGATGGTGGGAGGCACAGGAGTGTGGTCAGGACGTTTCATTCATCTTTGCAGAAACAGCATGGTAGTTGGATGGCTGAGCCGGCTCACACTCAGGCATCAGTCAGAAGAAACCAAGGCTGGGGACCCAGGGCACAGGAGTGCACTCTTCACAGACCATGGGGCAACTGCTCTCAGAGACAACTTGGTAATAAATTATAATTCCCACACAGTGCACAGACACTTCCAGTGGTATTTGCATAAGATGAGTAGTGCTAGCTCTTTGTGAAGCACTCACAACCCAGCAGTGGCCAACCCAGGAGCGTCTATGAATGTGAGCATACTGAAAGTATGTTGTGCAAGAATAAAACAGGCACAGACGATCAGGATCAAATCCTGAAAGCTATATGCAGTGGTGGCAGGCCTGCTGAATTGGCTTAGCCATTTAATCTGTATGTCTCAAGACTTTTGTAAACCGGTTAGGAAGACAAAGCTATTCAATAGGTTGATAGTTATCATTCATGGTTTAACCAAAAAGTCCAATAGGACAGTGAAGAGTAGGCAGTATGATCAGCATAAGAGGCACAGTCAGACTAATTCAAAACACCTTTCTGTTTGCCAAAACATTTTCTGTTATCGAGCTGTTTAAGGGCCTCAGGTATGAGGGTATGAAGAGAATTCAAATCCATGATTTTTACATAGTTTGCTCAGCTGATAAGTAGGTATAAAAATTTTGGGCAAATCTAATTAATGTTCCTGAAGGATTTCTGGAAATAATTTAATGTTCATAATGAGTCTTTTCTTAATTTCTGGACTCAGGCTGTTATTTCCATTACCAGAGTTCCCAAATTACTATAAGGGGAGATTGTTTGAATTTTCTCTATAGGCTATGTATAACCCATGTTGTATCAAAGTCTATTTAGTCTCTGCTAAAAGAAGGATAAGTTGTTGCTGAGAATCAGCAGCAAGGAATGTATCATTCATATAATGTATTATGTAGGCTTGAGGGAATTCTTTCCTAACGGGATTTAAAGCCCAACCAATGGAATACTGACACACGATAGGGCTGTTCATCATCCCCTGTGGCAGAACTGTCCATTGATATGCATGCATAGGCTCAGCAAGGTTACTGGCAGGAAGTTAGTGGCTACTAACTCTTGAAAATTAACATAGAAAGTTAAGTATTGCTCTGAGAAAGGCAGGACTTCGTTAAATGCTTACTGTCTAAAGAAGGTAAGGACAAAACTCCAGGATAGACTCCAACATGCTCAATATGAAAGGAAAAGAGAAAGCAATACCGGGTTGGTCCTGTGGACTTAGAAGGAAAGTTTTTAAAAAGCAATGCTTAAGTTCAGTAACAATAGGCCAGTCCTGAGGGACTGCAGTGGGCCTGGGGTTGAGTGTTTACAGATATGCCCTGTTTGTCACAATTAAAATACTGTATTTTTAAAGAAGCCAGATTTGTTTAATTAACCCAAACATAAGTTGGGCAGACATGGAGGACTTACGACCTTCATTACCTCCATCTTCGCATACTTTCAAATAGTTCCCAAGATTTTTAGTCACTTGAATGGTCCCTAGTGCTTTTTTATTAGCATTCTTCAAAGCCAGCAGCATAATAATCTCTGCTGTTTGTGCATGTGGTATCTGTCATTGGACAGCTTTCTGAAACCTGGCTAAGAACTGGGCATAAGACTCACAGGAGCATTGAAGAATGTGTAAAAAGGACTGAATCAGAGTACCAACCTCGGGAGTAGTTACCCAGGTTTGTTTCATTGTGAGAGCCATTTGTTGGTAAGCCTGCTCTGGAAGTGTTAACTGTGAGTTTAGATCTGAGTACAGACCTGTTCCCAATAGCATTTCTTCCATAATTTCTGGGTGTCCTGCCACCCAAATCTGTTGAGCCTGCTCAGCTACTAAGTCATTATATAATGATCAAATTGGGTTAATTCACCTAACTACCACTTCAAATATTTGCCATTTCTTTCTAGTGAAACTTTCAAAATCTAGTTATTCTGAAATAACTCCTTATTAACTAGAGTCACCATACTGTGTAAAAGTTAGAGGAGCAAGTATACTCACAGTGCATAACATGAATCTCAAGGAAAAACATCTTCAGCAGGTGAAATAGGAGTGTATATGGGTTTCAGCCACACACAGCTGAGCCTTGGCCAGTCCCAGCCCCTCCCCAGACCAGACCGTGTACGCCCAAGGTGAAGACCTTGCTGGACTCATCATGCTATTTCTGCACTTGAGTTCTCTGTTAGATATAAAATCATGCTGTCCCAGCTACACAGCACAGCTTAGAACTCCCTTCCATGCTGAGTGTTGCCTGATTCATGCATTGTTCTTTGCTCACATTGTTCTTTACTGTTCAACTGTCTACTTATTCATTTAACAAAGAAGAGCACCTAACATACCAGAAATGTACAGCATCCAGAAATGGACTTTTTTTTTAGAGAACGACAAGGTATGAATCACCTATTTCTTTTTAGACCATTTATTTCACTGCTGTTTGATTTTTGACATTGGACTGTCCAACACTTCAATCTCGCCTTTTCCACCTTCTGAGTTGGAAGCTTCATGTCACCCATGGGGATGTCACAGCCGATGCTATGAGCTTCATCCTCAGACTCTGAACTCTCTTCTGTTCTGACTTGGAAGCTCTCTTCTGAATTATCTTCTTCATCTCAAATTACACACATCCTACAAAAAGTACCAAGGCAGAAGTCTATTTTAGGGGAGCCCCTGAAAAAGTTGTACTAAGACAACACAGGGAACAAGTAAAGATTAACACAAATATTATGAAAGAAATGGCAAAAAATGTTTCTTAAAGTCAAGCACAGTGATGCATGCCTGTAATCTCAGTTACTTATGAGGCTGAGGTAGGAATATCATGAATTTCAGAGTAGCCTGGGCAATATAGGTAGGCCTGGTCTCAAAATGAAAATTTAAGCGAAGGGCTGGGCTCCATCTCACAGAGGCCATGATTCAATCCTTACATGAATTGGGGAGAATTGTTTTCTTTTTGTTGTTTTTGTTTTTGTTTTTGAGACAGAGTCTTGATATATAGTGCAGGCTGGCCTTGTACTCACTAATGTAGCTCAGGCTGGCCTGGAACTTAGGGCAATCTTCTTGACTCAACCTCCTGAGTACTGGGATTACAGTCATGTGCCATCATGCCCAACTGAGAAATGTTTTTGGCACAAACTGTCCCTTTCGTGCACTCAGTGGCCAGGATCCAGCACAATGATGACCTTCATTTGCCAAACTCAAGGAAAGTGTCCTCTGGCTTATTGTGTACACACAGATTGCCCCCCAGCACTCATTCAGTGGTAACCTGAGTCAGGCACCACGCTGGACACTAGAGACTCAACGGCAGAGAAAGCTCATAGTTCTGAGCAGGGGCAGCAAATGACAGTCTAAGGGCAAAGTCTGCCTGCTCCCTGCATCCTTACATCCACTCATGGCTAAACATAGTCCAGACTCCACCTGCATGGCTATGGTCCTGTCTAGGCATGTATAGTAAATCAGTTGCTGGAGCTGAGCCTAAAACAAAAAGATTTTAAAAAGTGATCCCTGCCGGGCCATCAGAGGGACAAAAAAGAAAAGGATAACACAACACAAGGCTGACATTGAGGAGCTCCTCGCTCAGCTACTACAGGCATCAAAGAGTGAGCTCAAGCCACAAAGGGGCTGGTGGAGGACACACGGAGACCGCAGCGGCAGGTGGAGGAAGAGACCCTCACACGGAAGGCGAGCTTTGAGAAAGCCACTGCCAGCAAGACAGAGCTATGGCCAAAGCTGGGCGCATCCACAGCAATGCCAAGGACACATTACACAGCAGGGACTGTGCGGAAGTGGAGGCTGCTGGGCAGTGACAGTTGGCAGCTGAGGAGGAGCAGCAACACTGAGGGGCTGATGAGCACATACGAAAGAGCCTGAGAGCTGAGGAGGAAGCCACAAGCAGCCCAAGTGCTGGAATTCAAAGGCCCAGTCCAAAGATGGACCTCTGCCGGGTATGGTGGTACATGCCTATAATCCCAGCACTCAGGAGGCAGAAGCAAGGGACTGCTGTGAGTTCGAGACCAGCCTGGGCTACAAAGTGAGTTCAAGTCCAGCCTGAACTGCATAGTGAGACCCGGTCTCAAAAAAAAAAAAAAAAAAAAACAAAAGAAAAAAATGGGCATCTGAGATGAACAGACATTTCTTAAAAGACATACAAACAGCAAATAAATATATGAAAAAGTGTTCAGCATCACTGGTCATTGAAGAAATGCAAATTAAAACAACACTGGCATTATGTCTTTCTCCAGAAAGAATGGCTACAAATGTTGGCAGGGCTGTGGGGAAAAGGGAACCCTTTTCCACTGTTAGTAGGAGTGTAGCCTGGTGAAACCACTATGGAAATCAGTGTGGGGATTCCTCAGAAAAGTAGGATTAGCAGTCCCATTTGACCCAGACACTCCCCTTGTGGGTATCTTCCCAGAAGAATTAAAAGCCTCATACCACAACAATATACGCAATCCCTTGTTTATAGCGGCACAGGTTGTAATAGCTAAATCTGGGAAGCAATGCAAATACCCATCAATCAATAAATGGATAAAAAAGATTTTTTTTTGTACAATGGAGTATTACTCAGCCATAAAGAAAGATAAAATTAAAACATTTATAGCTAAATAGATGGACCTTAAGACCATCATCATAAGTGAAATAAATCACACACATGTTTATATCACATTATCTCTCTCGTGTAAGAAACTGAAAATGCAAGTAACAACATACATGTACAACAGATATTGCGAGATAGGAAGAAACTGTTCAAGAGGAAAAGAGAAATAGGGAGGGGAGGGAAAAGGAAAAAAGGGAAAAAGAAAAATGAGAAAGGAAGGATAAAATGAAAACTGAGCTTTGTGAATGGGGAGGGGAAAGGGGTTTGAAGAAGGGATGGGAATGGGGGAAAAAAGGAATCAAGATATATCAAGTACAGATACAAATTCCCTACAATGAATGTGGTCATTATATATACCTAAATTTGCCAGTAAACTTAAATTTAAAACAGAGGCTGTGCTGGAAAAAGTCAAACATCTCAAAACCAAGGTGAAAGAGGGCAGTGCCTGCAGTGGAGAAGAAAACAGGAGTCAGCTCAGCAGCCACCACGAGCCGAGAGGCTGCACAGAGGTGACCACGGACAGAGGGGGAAACGCACGAGCACGCTCCAGCAGCTGCACTCCGAGACAGAGGCAACTCGGGCAGCGGCGGTGAAAGCTGAGGAGGCACAAGCACCTGCTGAGCGCGAGGCAACACAGTCTTGCCCACAGATCAAAGAGTCAAAGCAGCTAAAAGAGTTGACAGAGGAGCAAGCACAGCTCTGGGCTCAGGCCCGGGATGCTGGGGAGAAGCTGCAGAAACAGGGGAATAGGAGACAAGACAGAGTGCACAGACAAGGAGACGGCACTGAAGTGGAAGCAAACAGCTGACACCGAGGGTAGAAAAACCACCAAAAGGTACAAGAGCTCATGCCGTGACAGAAGGCCCAGGAGAATGAGGAGGGACTGGGGGTAGTGAGAGCCGCCTTTGAGAAACAGCAACAACTCACCGAGGCGCACGGCCAGGCCAAGGCACGGGCAGAGGTGGGAGCACCAGAACTGCAGCAGTGTGAGCAGCAGGAGACAGCACGCAGAAAGAGACAACAACAGACACACAACAGCAAAAACACAATATCCAAAGAGACAGAGCCCTGAGGGGGAGATCAAAGACAAGACCCAGCAGGTGAAAGTGAATAAACACAACCTGCTGCACACCAAAGAGGAGATCCACGTGGTACAGCGATAGCGGGAGATCCTGTCTCAGACATGAAGGAGCAACTCATCTGCACGATGCATCCCCAAGGATTCAAAAACTCTCCCACCATCTTTGAGAGGCACTGGCCACTGGCCGCAAAGCTTTCACTGTACCAGAGGATACCTGACCATTTGAGCAGCACCCTCCATGACTGGGAGCCCCTGTTCATGAGAGGGGGTCGCCAGGCAGGATGTACAGTGGTGACTCTAGACTCTGTGATGGCGGCTCAGGCTCTGCCTATCAGAACCTCCACGTGAAAGACAGAATTGATAGCATTAACAAGGGCTCTTTTACTAACAAAGGACAAAGAAAAGTAACATCTATACTAATTCAAAATATGCTTTTGCTACATTACATGTTCATGGAGCCATACACAGGGAGAGAGGGCTCCTAACTGCTGGGGAAAACAAAATCAAGTATAAAAAAGAAATTCTGCAGTCCCTAGATGTTATATGGGGCCTCCCCAAAAGTGGCTGTTATACACTGCAGGGGCCAACAACCAACTGGAACAGTGGAGGCCAGAGGAAGCCAAAAGACAAACAGAGAAACAAAGCAGGTCCTATGACAGCCCCACAGCCTGAAAGAGGGTCCCTGGCCATGCCCCTCAGCCCAGAGCCTCCACTGCTAGAGACCCCCAAACTACTCTCCAAATTAAAAAAAAAAAAAAACATGGTTTGACTGGGAATCTGGTAATTGTATCAAGGGAGGATGACGGAAGTTCTCTGGTGAGAGACTGGCAATCCCTGAACCATGTCCCCCAGGTTAGAACAAATATTCCGTCAAGGGTCTCACATGGGAGAAGCACATTAGAGACATTACTAGGCTGTCATCTCTATGTACTGCTGCTCACTACCATACCTCAAGTTATTTGTGAGCAATGCCTAACCCGTGCTCAAAACAACCCAAGACAAGGGGCCGACCAGCCACACGGCACTCATAGACTTTACTGAACTGCCTCAAGCAAAAGGCTATCAGTATATGTTGGTGCTTGTCTGCACCTTCTCAGGATGGGCTGAGGCCTTCCTCAACAGAAAAAACACAAGCAGTGACAAAGGTACGATTGAGATACATCATCCCAAGAATTTGGACTACCACTGACTTGTGGTTAGAAAAATGGACCTGAGGTAATCCAGGGGCTCGTACAAATGTTGAAATTAAAATGGAAACTACACATAGTCTACCAGCCCCAGAGCTTAGGAAAAGTGGAGCACATGAGCCGGACCCTCGGACAATTACTGGAGAAATAAAGCCGAGAAACCCATGTGAGATGGGGCCAGGTCCTGCCCATGGTCCTCCATCAGGCCAGTTGTACCCCTACCAAACTAGGTCTTCTCCTCATGAGAGCCTGTTCAGCTGTCCACTCCCAATCATAGTTCAAATCATGAGGAATCTCTGTGAACTAGGGGAATTATCCCCAAGGGGACAGATGCAGGATTTGGGACCAGCCACCCAAGATATCCATGGATGCATACAAGAGAAAGTGCACTGAAAGAGTAAATATACCCCTTCAAGTCTGGGGACTCTGCTTGGGTCAAGAAATGAAATCCAACCACCTTAAGACCCATATGAGATGGGCCTCACACTGTAATCCTGTCTACCCACACCACTATTAAAGTTACAGATATTGTGCCTTGGAGAGCCAAGCATGGTGGTGCTCGCCTGTAATCCCAGCACTAGGGAGGCTGAGGCAGGAGGATCATTGTGAGTTCAAGGCCAGCCTGGGCTACAGAGTGAGCTCAAAGCCAGCCTGAACTGCGTAGGGAGACCCTGTCTCAAAAAGACAAAAAAAAAAAAAAAAAAAAAAAAAAAAAGAAAAAAAAAAAGAAAAGAAAAGAAAGATATTGTGCCTTGCATGCACCACAGTCCACTGAGCAAGCAGCCTAAAACAAGTGGACCAGCCAGCAAGTCCAGACTGATCCTAGAGTGAGACAGAGCCACCATAAGAAGGGCAGCCATGTTCTGGTCACCCAGGAAGCTGAGCAGTCTACATCCACTGAAGCCTGCAGAAACAACAGCCCTGTTCTGGTCACTCCAGAAGCTAACCAGTCTATGCACTGCCAAAGCTTGAGGATCAACATATAGTTACAATAGCAACATAACTTTTTGTTATGTTTTTTTACTTTTTGTATAATTCTCTCCCTGCCTAATACATACTCAACATCCCATACATAGTAAATGATAATGATAATGATGCTCTCTAGCAAAAGTCATTTATGGAAAGCAGGAGAGGGTGAATGAAGCAGGATTTAAAAAGAAGGTTGAGTTTCCCAAACTTCTCCATCCCTACAGATCTTTGTTCTAATACAGATAAAAAAGTAACTCTTGTCCCTGTAAGTAAAGTTTTATAACCTTCTGTTCCCATAGCATCCTGTTCGGGTTGGGGATTTAGCTCAGTGGCAAAGCACCTGCCTGGCAAGCACAAGGTCATGAGTTCGATTCCTGGTACCGGAAGAAAAACAAAAAAACAAAACAAAACAAAAACCCAAACAAACATCCTGTTATGCCCAAGCAGGACCATGAAGATAGGATAAGTTACAAATACTGTTACAGTTTGATAAACTGACTTTGTTCTGTGCCAAAAACCAGCCATGTATAAAACTGGAGCTCTTCCTTTGTTCAGTGCTCAGCCCTTTTTGGACAGATACCCCCTAGATCAACTGTACAAGTAAACAAACTGATCCTCCTGACTCACCTGTGGTCTCTCTAGCCTCTTCAATTCTGCAACAGAGTAGCGAGTTCAAAGATGCCATAAGAGGAACTGTCTAAAATTATGCAAAAAAAATTCAAACATGCACCATGAGCTATGGGAAAATATCAATTGCCAAGTGGTGTAACATTAGAGTCCCTTTAAGAATGGTGACTACTAAGAGGGACAGAAAAAGAAAACTAAAAAAAACAACAGGGCCCCCCAACTTGACAAAAACTAGAAACCCATAAATCTACTTATTTCAATGAACCCCAGGTTCAGTAAAAATTGGAGGGCACTTCATCACTCAATGGATGAAAACCAGTGATAAAGATGAAAGTCTTAGCTGGGCATGGTGGTACACACCTGTGATGCCAGATACTTGGGAGGCTGAGTTAGGAACGTCTAAATTGCCCAGGAAATTTAGCAAGATCTTGTTTCAAAAATTACAATTCAAAAGGTGGTGGGGATGTAGCTCACTGCAAAGGTTCTGGGTTCAGTCCCCAGCACTACAAAAAAGAAAGAGAAAATAAAACTAAAAAGAAAATGAGAAAAGGAAAAAGGAAAGGAAGAAAAAAAGAAAGAAAGAGAGAGAGAGAAAGAGAGAGAGAGAGAGAGAGAGAGAGAGAGAGAGAAAGAAAGAGAAAAATTATTGGTACATGCAAGGAGTCCTTACACTTAGGATCCTGAGGCAGGATGATCATGAGTTTGGGGCTATCCCAGCCTATACAGTGAGCTCAAGGCCACCCTGCACTACGCTGTGAAACCCTGACTCAAAAAAAGTAAATTACACAAATGTTGAATATTACACGAAAGCCACGTGAACGAATTTGAGTGTTGAAAAACTTTCAAGTATCAGTTCTTGAGTGCTAGAGAATAATTAATGAAGAGAACTAGCCCCGTTACATGGAATTGGTCACCATACAAATAACTAGCTATTTCTGTAGGATGTACTGCAGCTTTTCCATATATACACACTGTTTGCTGTCTAGTTACCTCCGAAAGGCTTTCCCATGGAGATGAACAATAACTGTGGCTCTGTGGGTATTTATTTGAGGTGGGGTCTCACTATGAGGCCCAGGCTGGTCTTGAACTCCTGGACTCCAGCAATCTTTGTCTCTAGGACTCCCAAAGAGTGGGACTGCAGGTGTGCACTCTCCTACCCAGCAGTGAAAAATACTAGCCTTTGGGTTCCACAAAGTCATCTCACAAGTGGTTTTTCAGGAACAGTCATCCTTTTCTTGTTTTGATTTTGTTTTTCTGGGACAGGGTCTTTGCTAGGAGGCCCAGCCTGATCACCCACTCCTGATCCTCCTGCCTCAGCCTCCTCAGTGTTGGGTCTGCAGGGTGCACAGCTGTGCCCAGCTCCGGAGTTGCCCTTCTCACTGTTTTCGGGGTACTGGGGATTAAATCCAAGGCCTTGATGCTGAGCTACATCCCTGCCCCTTTTCATTTTAATGTTTTCTGAGGCAGGGTTTCAGTAAGTTGCCCCAGGGCTAGGGTCCTCTTGAAAGGTGGGATCCACCCTGCACCCTGTCCCCTGTCCCTCATCTCTTTCACCATCCTCGGGCAGCAGCTCTTTGGACAGAGACCCTTCACCCCTCCCAGGTGGGACAAGGACTCTTGCAGGCTCAAGACTCACCATGGACTCCAAGGCTAGGCAGTAAGCTATCAGGAGAGAGTGCTGATGGGGGAAGGAGGCGGGATCCAGGGGGTAGGGCCAAGATCGTGATTGGAGGAAATCGAGGGGAAGGCAGGCCAGGGGTGGGGCTAAGGGTGGAGTCCCGGCGTCGAGACTGAGGCCAAGTATTAGGCCGTGGGCGGGGTCGAGGGCGGGGCCGGGGACCCGGACGGGAGCGGGGCGGCAGAGGCGATCGCTGATGGTTGGGCTTCTTGGGGTTCGCGGCGCCGGGCCGAGGTCGGCCAGGCTGGCGGTTTCCGCAGGCGTGCAGCTGCCCCCTCATTGTGCTTGGGAGAACGCAGCTGGGGAGGCTGCGCTCCCTGCAGCACGCCGCAGGAAGGAGCTCGGCCGGAGGGGCCCGTGCAGAGAACGCAGGACGGTCGGTCCTAGAAAAGTTAGAAAAATAGAATTACTCCTTCATTCTCTGCGTTCCTGTTTGGTTTCTGGTTTTTGCCTGTTTTTTTTTGGCTCAGGATCGCACTGTGGAGTCCAAGCTGGCCTGGACCGGCTGGTGCTTCTCCGGTTCCCATAAGCGGGTTCGCTGTCCTCGCCCTCGCCGTGGCCTCGCCGTGCACGGGGCGCGGGGACAGCTCGGCGGGCGTCCGGGCCACACCGCGCAGCTCGCCGCGCCCCGACCTCGCGCTGCCGGCCCTGCATTCAGCCGGGCACGGAGGTGCAGTCCGAGGTCCTCGCGCCCCACTTCTCCCACTGCAAACACCGTCCCGAGCTTCACACCTGCCGCAGCTCGGCAGCTCCCTTTCTTCCTCTTCTATTTTTTTGTTGTTTTTTTTTTGTTTTGTTTTTTCGTTTTTTTTTCTGGTACCAGGAATAGAACTCACGACCTTGCGCTTGCCAGGCAGGCGCTGTGCCGCTGAGCTAAACCCCCAGCCCCGCCTTTCTTCTTAAGGCTGAATAATGTGCCCCTGAACGGACAGGCCACGCTGTCCCGGCCCGTTCGCCCCTCAGCAGGCAGACGAGTTGCTTCCACCTCGCGTGGGTTTGCAAATATTCCCTCCAGATCCTGCTTTTCCGTTCCTTCGGGTTCACCCCAGAACTGAGCTGCTGGGATGATGAGGTCGTTCTACCCTTTAATGTCCCATAATTCTGTGCTCTCTACAAATTTTACCTTTCCTCCAACAATGCACAAGCGTTCCGATCTGTCCACGTTCTAGGAAACACGTGCCCTCTCTCATTTTTCTGTCTTTCTTCTTCTTTTTTTCTGTTTAATACTAGCCATCCTAAGAGGAGTGAGGTTGTATTTTCTTACAATGTTGAATTGCATTTCTCTAATGATTAGTGATGGTGAGTTTTTCACGTGCTTGTTGGCGGTTTGCCTATCTTCGCAGCAGTATCTTTTCAAGTCTCTTACTTTTTAAGATTGTTGAGTTATATAATTCTTTGTAGAGTCTGGTGTGTGTGTGTGTGTGTGTGTGTGTGTGTTGATGATGGTACTGAGCATTGAAACCAGCTCTTTGCCCTGAGTCATGCCTCAGTCTTTCTCTTTTCCTTTTTTTGGGGGGGGTACCGGGAATCTTACTCCAGACCGTGTGCTTGCTCGGCAGGCGCTTGTGCCGCTGAGCTGTCTCCCCAGCCCCTTACATTTTATTTTGAAACAGGGCCTGACTATGTTGCTGTTATACAGGCTTGGTTTCATCTTGCAGTCCTCTTGCCCCTGCCTTCCTGAATGCTGGGATTATAGGCTTTCACCACCACTGTACCTGTATTCTGAATATTAGCCCCTTACCAGATATATTAATTGCCTATATTTTCTTGCATTCTGTATGTTGGTTTTTAATTTCGTGCTTTCCTCTTTGTAGGGTTTTATTGACTGCCTGTAGCTTTTCTTAAGGTCAAACCTGCACAACGCACCCAGAAGTGAGTTTGACTAACTCCTGGGACATTTCCTAGCTAATCAAGTTCACACGCCATATAACCCATCACAGTGCCTTTTAGGAGAATAGTATTGACTATTCAGTTCGGATAAAGACATTGTGCTAACCTGAGATGAAGATACTGTTGATCCAGGTGGGTGACACACACCATAATCCCACATATTCAGGAAGGTGAGGCAGGTAGATCACAAGTATAACCCAGCTTAGGCCACTTAGTGAGCCCCTGTCTCAAAATACGCAATCAAAAAGACTGGCAGGTGTCTGAGAATAAAGAACCGGCATTCAGTCCCAGGAGAGTGCGTGTGCGCGCGCGCGCGCACGCGCGCACACACACACACACACACACACACACACCCTCTGTGGACAGATAAACCAAGCTTGATCATTGAAGTGCTCTGATCCTGATGTTCAGAGGCTGCAGTGGAAGCACAGAGGAGGGAGCCTGAAATCCATCGGGTGGCCCAGATGTGGGAAGGTTTCTGGGAGGCCCGAGCATCCTAGTGAGAGAGGGCAGCGAGTCTGAACCAGAGGAGGAAGAGGACCCGGGCCAGGCTGAGCAGAGCTGCAGATGCAAAGGGGCAGCAAGCCAGGCTGCTGAAGTCCGCTTCTCGGAGCTGTGCTGAGACTCCAGGAACAGGGGCCGTGTGCAGCCTTGCTCTATGATTGTGGACAGAAACTGCCGGTGGGGACCAGCTAAACATGTGCTCTAGCTGGGTGTGGTGGAGCACGCCTGTAATCCCAGCTGTCTGGGAGGCTGAAGCAGGAAGATTACAAGTTTGAGCCCAATCTGCATGACTTAGGTACTCAGCAAGACCTTAACTAAAAGTAAAAATAACTTAAAAAGGATCACGGATACAGCTCCGTGTAAATACCCTATGTTCAATCCGAACGAGACAAAAGTATAGCCTAGTAATACAAACATCATACTGCCATGCTTTCAATTGGTATGGGAAATTCTTAATACCAGACTTGGAGGCTCAGGCAGGAGGATCACAGCAAGTTCAAGGCCAGCATGTGCTGAAGAGCAAGGTAAGAGCCAGGCAGAACTACAGAGAAAACCTAGTCTCACAAACAAGATACAGTCCTTTCATGTGGGCCTGCCTGTCTTTCCCACATATGTATTTATATATGTACCTCCCCCACCCTACTGCCGGGAGCTGAACCCAGACTTTATAGCTGCTGGGCAAGTGCTCTCCCACTCAACTTCATCGCAGGTCTTTTTCCTAACTTTATTCGGGGTAGAATCTCGTTACGGTTCCCAGGCTGTCCTTCAGCCTGTAGTGCTCTATCCCTAGCCAGATCGCTCTTGCCCTTGACCTTGCCAAAGAGACCACAGACTCAGCGGTGATGGACACCTCTTTGTTTATGTTCCTACACTGTTCAGACTGGCCTTGAACATACTTCATAGCCCAGCTGACCTCAAACTCATAGGGACCCTCATGCATCAGCCTATGGAGCCCGGGGATTACAGGAGGGAACCGGCACACCCAGCTCATTCCTGTTTCTTTGGCTATGAGTACAGAGGGTGTGGGGGAGAGGAGGCTGCAGAGAGCAGGGACAGGAGCAGCACTCTGCCTGCCTTTCCCTCTCTGCCTTGGCGGGATTCTGCCCAAGCTGCCAGTTAAGTCGCTGTTCCTCCATCCTGCTTGAGACTTTTCATTTTGAAATGACTTCGTATTCACAGACAAGTTATGACACGAGTACAACTCCTCTGTCCCATTGTGTCCACTCATAACAGGCACATTTTGCTCCGCCCTCTTGTGTTTGCTGTCTGTTCTTTACCTCTTTCAGTGCAGGTTCTTGGTAAGTCGCCCAGGCTGGAATGAATGTAAGATGTGCCTGACTCAGCCTCATGAGTACCTGGGATGACAGGCGTGGGCCACTGCTCCATGCCACTTGGTCATATTTGCTACCGTTCTCTCTCTACTCGCCCATTTAACAACTTATTCAAGGGCAAGTTTTAGAATTCATGTCCGCTTAAACCTCAGTCCGTCAGCGGGGAAACCTAGGCATAAAAGGAGTGTCTTGTACACTGACAGTATAATGATCTCCAGCAGAGAATTCAACATGCATACAGCACTGTTATGGGACCCAGGATCCGTACTCACACTTCAGCCATCTCAGTAACGTCCAGCTTAGCTTTGTCCCCCTTGAGGGCAGAGGCTTAGTCACCTCCCATGTCTGAGACCCAACCCCTGACCCACAGCATGAAGGAGGAGAGGTTCACCCTGGCTCACAGTTGAAGAAGTCTTGGTCCTGGCCAGGTCAGTGGTTCCTAGGGAGAAAGGTGAGGTGGACGGCCCGGGCGGAGGAGAGCTGCTCACAGCAGGGTGGCGGGGAAGCAGAGAGCAGGGAGGAGCTGGGGAGGAAGATAAACCCTTCCAGGCCCTACCCAGGCCGCGCCCACAGGCAGGTCCCGCCTCCAACCACAGTGCAAAAGAGAACTCCTGAAAGGGGGATCCACTGATAAGTAGAGAATTCCCATGAGAAGTCACCTCCCAAGAGCCCCTCCTCTGAATGCAGCAGCCTTTTGGGAGTCTCCCGAGATCTAATCCATAAGAGGCACCCAGTCTTCTCCAAAATGTGAGACTTCCATAATGAGTTCAAGACCAGACTAATCTAAGTATCAAGACTCTGTCTTGAAAGGTGAAACTAAACTAAACTAAAATGATATAGACAAGGCAATGCATAACTAGAAATAAAATAAAATCAGTTCTCTGGCTGAATGTGAACAGGCAGTCCTGGCTCAGCCTCCCGGAGTGCTGGGATTACTGGCAAGCACGACCATGCCAGCAGGACTTTGAAATATTTGAGGAATATCGGCAAGAGAATTTTCAGAATGTGCCTCAATTGACATCTATCTGGTATTTCCCCTTAAAAAAGGAAAATGATAGCTAAAACTGCAAAAATGAATTTCCCAGACTATTTGTCACCTTTCAATCCTCCTGTCTCAGCCTCTTGGAATGTTGGAATGACAGGCATGGACCAGCACACCGAGCATGACTTTAACATTTTTGTAGGAGATAATTTTAGCATATACCTCACCTGAGCTTCCTCCTGTACTTCCCCATGGGTGGACTCAGGTTGGACATTCTCAACAAGATCCTGCAGATGACACTGGGTCCTTCCATGGAATCACAGCAGGAGGCAGCTGATGCAGGTGAGTCTGATCCAGCGGAGATGAGCGCTGACCACGG